AACAAAAAAAAAAAAAAAACAGAAGTTAAGAAGGCTAGGTTCTAGGTTCAGGTTCTGACTTTTCTTTCCACTTCTGTGTTTTGTGACCTTGGGGAAGTCAGGAATCCTCTGGAGCTTTAGTTTTTTAATTATTGAATGGGGTAATAAGACCTCTTATGTATACTCCAAGCATTTGTGAATGTAAAGTAGGGAGTACATGTGTAAAAATTAAGCTGCCAGATGGATGAAGCTACTCTAAATATTTCACATTAGGAAGTATGTTGTTTGAAGATGTAATGTGAACGTTTTTCCATAATCTTTTTCTAAGTAGTGTGGTATTTGTACCTCTCCACCAGAGGGAGCTGTGTTCATTAGTTTTGTATGACTTTCCTGGGTTGAGAAATTCAGATTTTCACAGTAGCTTTGTGACTACACTGAACTTGTTTATAAGGATCACAGATTACAATGAGTATTGGAGGCCTAATCATCTCTACTTAAAAAGAGGAAAACTTTTTAAAACATCCTTTGAAGGACATTCATAAATTGTTTGTAAATTCATTTGAAATAAGAATTACTGTTTTCATAGTGTGATGCACTTACATTAATCAAATCTAGAACCAAAAAATCTTTATTATATGATGTCCGAAGAATTAGAAGACATCTTATGATTCCTAGGGCTGGTTTTGCACTCTTCATTCCGTACTATTTTTTTTTAATGTTATTTTAGGTACAAGAAATATATACTTCAAAGGAACATTCTGTAGATGCAATGTGGGATAATATTTGTGTAGCATAGAAACCTTTTTGTATTCCTGAAATAATATCTTACATTCTCTCAAAACATAAGGATTATGTTCTTGTAGTGGGGCAAATACATGGACCCAGGGTACTGTGAAGACTGGTAGTGATTAAACCATTTATGAACTTAGACTCTAGAATCAGGCTTTCCCAGTTCAATACAGGTCATGTAATTTCCTAATGTTTGATTTTGATAGGGTTGTTGACCTTTAGCTGCCTTAATTTCTAGGTTTTTAAAATAACATTAGAATGTATTCCACAAAATTTTTGTGAAGATTAGTAATTACTCTATAATGAGTGCTTAGAGCACTTAGTCATAGTGAGTCTCAAAGTGTTAGCATTAATTTCTTTAGTAACTCTTATTCAACAGACTTTAAGCTCTAATTTTATATTGGATTTTATCAAGTTACTTAAAATTGTGTAGTGTTTTAATCAGATGAAAATTCCTTGAAAGGGCACTATAGTTTGTGCCTATCTCATTGTACTCCTTCCTTTGAAAGATATAGAATGCTATTTTTCAACATTGCATATACGTTAGAATCATCTGAAAAGCTTTAAAAAAAACTGTTCTTTTATGTTACTGATTTGGTTTAGTGCTTAGGCATCAGTATTTTAAATATAATAAATCAGACCTATCCATAACCCTGTTTCATCAACTGTGACATTGATATTTTTATGAAACTGTTGTGTAGCCGAGGCTTGAAAAACTGCTGCCTTTCAGCCCAATTGCCCATCAACTAGAGACTGGATAAAGAAGATGTATTTTTTTTTTCTAATCAAATAGAGCACTACTCGGACATAAAGAACGAGAAATTAGACATATTTACAGCTAAGTGGATTCACATTGAGGCCATACTCTTAAGTGAAATTAGTATGTCACATGTATAAAGACAGAATAGTTTCTCTGCTCTGAAAAACTAAAAATGTAAATAAGGGTCAAAATGTATAACTAATATTGTGTAACAGGAAGAAAAGGTCTAAAAGAGTAGAGGAAGTGGGAGGTATAGGGGAAAGATAAAAAGGGGAAAGAAAAATATGTGAAAAGAAAAAACATGGAAACAATGTCTTTGTAAACAGGGAAGGGTGGGCTGGGGATTGGGGAAGAATGAGAACCAAGACCTGTTATGTAAAGGTACAAGATCCCAATGATGAATGTAACTGTACTGTATACCTAAATGTACCAATAAATTTAATAAAGACAAAAGAAAAACTGCTGCCTTTGATTTAATAGTTATTATATTTATTTGTTTATTCGTTAACTTTGTCAGCTCTGTGCCAGGCTTTTGGTACATAGTTCGGAACAGAGCATATCCTTACACTAACTTGTTGCCATGTTCGTATGTGTATATTTCTGTACTTTATGATTTGAATAAAATTTACATTTTTATTTTCCTTACTAATACTTTTTTTTTTTTTTTTGCAGCTAAGAGCTCTGTCTCACATTTTACAGACACCAATTGAAATAATACAGGCAGATTCTCCTCCTATTGTAGTTGGTGAAGAATATTCTAAAAAGCCATTAACACTTGTGTAAGTACCTAAAAATTTCTGCTGTTTTATTTTTTCATAATTAAGGCAAAAAAGAATTTAAAAACAGTTTAGGTTTTATATGTTGATTTATCAAAAAATACTAACCAAATTAATTCTGCTTATATTAAAGGCAATTGTAGAAATAGAAAGCAGTGTCAAAGTACACAATTTAGGTAATTGTTTAAACTTCTAGTGATTTGTGTGTATGAGTTAAGAATACAATGATTTTTAAAGATGGCAAAGTTTTAGGACTAGTTTGTATATTGTCGTGGTTTGACTTAATAATGCTAGCTAAAAGCTTCAACAAATGTAAAAGCTGAAATAGAGGAAATTAGGAGGTTAACTCTTGGAGAGGGGAAGGCGGGGTAAAGGAATTGAAAACGATCAAGATAGGTTATGGGCATGTATGAAGTCCCAAAATGAACATCACTGTTTTGTATTATAATCATTTATTTAAAAAGGGAAAATACATGCATACTGCGTATTTATTTATTTCTTAGAGATATTTTTTCTTCACACTGTCAAAGTATTTTGATTGAAAAAATATCTGAAATACAGCATGGAGGATTTCTTCTTTGCTTTAGTGTTTATCAGCTAAACTTACTAAGCTAGTCATTAATGACTTGAATTTGGTTGGAAAATTTGAAATTTATTGAGCACTCATCTCAACCATTCCATTTTTCTTCTGGTGGTTGAACCGCTTGCTAGCTGCTGATTCTTGTCAAATGGTGCTGAACTCTTATGCGCTTATGTAGTCTGTTGAATGATACGTCAGAATGCTTGGTTTTATAAAGATGATGAGCATTTCTATACAATAAATTTTATCCAAACTGTTTCTTTTCTTCATTGCAGATATATGAGACATGCGTATGGCTTAGGAGAACATTATAATTCTGTTACACTGTTGGTGAACACAGGTACTGAAAATTGCAGCTAGTTTACAAAATGTTACACCCTTTTTTGTTTTAGTACAACGTGCCAGTCTGAGTATTCCTGCCAAGTACTAGATTGTTGTAAATGCTATTGAGAAACACAACTACCTTACATCAGTTTTATGAATAAGTTTACAGACAGGCTTTTTAGAATTATGTTAAATATGTCAGAGATAAACTTTAACCATTTTCCTCTTCGTGGTATTTTTAAAATTTGTCTTTTGAGGGGAGCATTATGTGTAGACCAAGAAGGTACCCTGTTCACTGGCATTTTTATTTATATCATCCTGAATATTCTGTTTTACAATAAATTTTAAACGTTTAAAAATTCTCCCCAATGATAAAAGCTTCCCAAGTAATCATTTCAATGTAATTTTTCATGAAGAACTGAAGTGACTGCTTTTCTTTGTCATGGAAATTATATATGGTGGTAGCAAATTTAATTAATGCTTATAAAATAAGCTTTAGTGAAGTGACTTTGGTGTTCATGGAATTAATGGGGTGAAGCTTTTTACATAGTACTATACTTTCAAAATGCAGCTAAGGAACTTGCTTTAATAAGAATTTTAAAATATTCAGATGAGCACTATCAGTTAAGTTTAGAGAAATGAGACAAAGTCAGAGAAAAATAGATGTTCACGGTTGTTGGCTTTACACTGTAAAGAATTAAGAGACATGCCTTTTATGTGTGTGTGACTTTGAAAAGAGTAACATATTACTGTTTAATTTGTTTGTTGCTCTTCACTGTTTCTTAAATTTCAGGCAGGCGTTAGTGCTATCACTTACTTATTCTCTTTATAACTGTAGGCTTTTATATTTTCTAGTGTTTTTTTTCCCACTACTCAGCAGTTTTGCTTTCCCTTGCAGCTTTTTCCAGAAGCCTCTCTCACTCTTTATATTGTGTAAATGGTGGATTCTGTAGTTTTAAAAGGGCCAAGGCTACATTTGCTTCAAATTCTCTTTTCACTTTGTTTTACAAGCTTGCTGCCTTTTTACTCATTTTCTAGTATTACAAGAAAGCTCTCATGACTTTTGTTAATCTTATTGTCATTTTTTCTTCATTTCAAATATTTGAAAATTTTGTTTTGTGTGTATGGGTACAATTGGAGAGCCAAGAGCTTTGTAGTAAAACCAGTATTCAGTGATTTTTCTGTGTGAATAATTTATCTAATTCAGACTCCAGATCAAAGATAACAGTATTATGAGAGGAGAGTGCTCATCTATGCAAATGTATTTGATAATTTGTTATGTTAAAAAATTAAGAAAATGAGAACTTTTGATATTTTTCCCAAGTTCCTTGAACTTGTGTTTTATGTATAATTTTATGAGTAAATCTTGGGCATATAATGTTAAAAGCGGAGCCATTCTCACATGGCCAACAGGTAACAGTGTGAAGCTGGTAGAGACTGTGCTTAACTAGAGCAAGTCAGTACTTCCCAAGGGCACCAAACCAACAGAACAAAAACCACTTTACCTGCCAACAAGATATTTCAAAGCTGCCTGTTTTGTAACCTTTGACCTGAATTTTTTAGGGGTCTGAAATTAATAAAGGAATGGAATTATAAAATATAAAATGCTTTGTGTTTATTTTGAAGTACTCTCTTACTCTAAAATTAAAATATCAGCATTAAGAATAAAATATCATAAAATCTAGTTATAGATTCTATCTTTATCAAAAGTATTCTAAGATAAGTAATTTTTTAATAAGGATAAATTAGAATTTTCTTGCTTTTTGTGTTTATTAAAATTGTTTTTAAATGGTCATGGTCAGTACAGTTATGAACAAGATTTGTATGATCACCTATTCTTTCATAAAACTTTAGGTAAATACTGTTTTATTTATAATTGAAAGTTTTTAAAAATTTGCAGATGTTAATTTTAAAGTACATATACTAATTAGTTTGCTATATGGTGGTCTAATGGGTATTATATAAGCTTTCTTTTGTCCTAATCTGTAAAACTATATGTCAGAGTTCTGGAAATGTCCTTAGCCAAGAATTTTATCCACTTATATATGTTTACAGCTTGTGTAAAGCAAAAAAGAATGTACTTACAATGAGCAGTGTAGTTTTGCTCATATTCTCTGATGTTTGCCAAAAGAATAATAAAAAGTGAATGAATTAAATAGACCTTGGCTGTTCATATTGTCATTATTTAACAATTTTAGAATTTTGAAATAAACCCACTCAGCATTAGAATTTTACCAACTTTTATTTTGTCTTTGCATATAATTGAGAATATAGTATGAGCATAGCATTATGCCCCAGTTAGCAAGATAATAAAGTAATAGCCAGTTAAGTCATGGCTCTTAGAAAACAAGTAGAAGCTTAGGACCTTATAGAATAATGAAAGTTTATTTAGGATAAAGTTTTTTTTTAAAAAAGAACATTTGTGTGCAAGGATGTGAAGTAATAAAGAAATTTATGCAAATTGAAGTCAGCACACAGTTGTTAATACAGTGTCTTCTTGATACAGGTTGTCATGGACTAGCTGACGGAACAGGTCAGTTGATTTTCTGAGAATTAAATTTCATACTTTCATTATTTTTTGTTAGTGAACAAATACAAGTCAGTTTTCTCCCCATTGCTTATATTTACACATAATTCTTCCTAGTGTAAAAATAATATTTTTCCATCTTTAAACTCATGGGGTTTCCAATTTTTTTGAAACAGGGTCTCACTACATTGTTTTGTTTTGTTTTTTTTCTCATTGAGTTTATTGGTACATTTTAGGTGTACAGTACAGTTACATTCATCATGTACTTTTGTACCTTTACATGACAGGTCTTAATTCTCATTTTTTTCCCCTTCCCCCTGCCCTCCCTTCACTACATTGTTCAGGCTGATCTTTAACTCTTAGTGTAGCCTAGGATGGCCTCGAACTCACAGTCTCCCTGACTCAGCTTCTTGAGTGTTGGAATTACAGGTGTGCATCACCATGCCTGGCTTATAGTTGTCTTATAACCAAGGTGACCAGAATGAGTTTCTGAATACTACATAAATCACTACCTTTCTGTAAAGTTGCTGAATTGGTCAATTTTATGAATAAAAATGACTAAGAATATATCCTATTATTTCATTTCTATGTCATGCTTGTTCATAAATTCAGCCAGTACAGTATCAACATGGGGATTAAAAACTCCAGTGCATGAGTTAGATAAAAAATGATATGATTTTAAAAAGTTGTTTCTGAATCTGATATTCAGCACCCCCACCCCATCACCCCTGACTAAAATCGGAAATGCTTTATACACCTAGGCTAGAGTTTCTTAACCATGGCCCTGTTGATGTTTTGAGTTGGAGAATATTTTTGTTGTGAGGTTCTCCTGTGCATTTGATGTTTAGCAGCATCCTTGGCCTCTAGTACAAAATACTAGTAGTATCCCCTCTAGAAGTGTAAGAACGAAACATGTTTCACTGGGGTCAAATTGGTCTAAGTTGAGACCACTTACTAGATCTTAAGTATTATTGCTGATGAGGTTGCTGAGGTTTAAGGCAAACCATTTGGAACAAAACTTGGGCATATTAGATAATTACCTGCTTTTCATAACTTTGCCAGACTTTTTCTAAATTTCGTTTGAAAGGCTCAATAAGTTTTAACTATTTTCCTTTTCTCTTTATATTCTTACCCACTGCAATGTATTTATTTGGCTTTTGAGATCCCTGGTGGTAGCATTCAGGATGGACAATATTATGCTCTAGTAATAAGATATAAACTGTGGGGTCTTGCACCAATAAAGGAGTGTTTCTTGTTTCTTCTGCAGTATGCAAGTTGACTGCGACTCTACTCTCTCTATGCTCTAGGACCCAAGCCACTGGAGTTGTTACACTCAAACTGCTAGAAGGGAACATTCAGAAGGGTCTCATTTTAGCAAAGGAATTCTGTGACTTAGAAGAAGAAGCACTTTGCATTTTTATTCTTTGGCTGAATTAACCCCATGGCTTCACACTCATAGGAGAGGCCCAGAATAGCCCTGCCCTTGTGTAATGATAGAGAAAGTATGAATATTTGTGAACATTACTAAGCATTGTCACACATACTAGAGATAGTGGCATTTGGGATCAGACCTGGACTTGCATCTGCATCCTGGTATTTCTTTTAACTAATCTTTACACTCATACTGAGTGTGGTATACCCTTAATCCTAGCATCCCACTATGAATCAGTCAATGCCACCATCACATCCTTAATCCTAGCAGCACATTCTAGATCCAGCCAACTCTGAAAAGCTCCACATATGACCACATGAGACTTTGGGGAGACATTTAATTACAAGCCACAGCAGAGCTATGAAACCTTACAGTTTTAAATGTGTGTGTGTTGTATTTGTTTGTGTGTGTGTATGTGTGTGTGTGTGTGTGTGTGTGCGTGTGTGTGTGTATGTATTTTACAATAGTCTGGATTTAGCTTTTGCACACCATTGAAACTGCTTCTAAAAGCAGTACCAGTGACACTTACTAGTTCTTACCTTACCATAAAACTGCTGCATTTGACACTGTAGACCACTGTCTCCCTGAAATTCCTTCTTTCTATCTGCTGCTCTTTGCTGATTTCTTTCTGGGCTCTGTATTGATCTCAGCCTCCTCCTCAGACTCTTTTTCAGGGTGTTATCCTTGCCTTTTTCTCACACTGCATTAGAGCTTCCAAACTGGTGGGCTGAATGTGGCCCAAAGATGTATTTTCTTTGGCCTGTGCGGTGATTTTAAAGGGAAAAAAAAAATTGGTGGCATTTTAAGAATAGGGACATTTCACTTAAAAATCTTTATTTCTAGTTTCAGAAAAATCAGATATCAACACAGCCAGGATTCCTTCATGGCAGCACTCAGCAAGTGCTGAGTAGTAGGTCTCTGCTTTAAAAGGGACATATACAGTTTCTGCTCACTCACAACCATCCCTACATGCTCTGCTAACTTACAGTTCTTGTCTCAGTAAAAAATGTCTAGTTCTGCTGGGTACGGCGGCACAAACCTATCCAACTACATAGTGAGACCCTGTATCAACAAAAAGAAAAAAGAAAAAGCCCAGTCCTCAAGCCACAACCTTGGCATCACTTTATACTAGTCCTCTTTATCCTGTTTGTCATTTACTCCTCCCTCAATTAGACTTTGTACATAGTTCTTGGCTTTATCTCAATGTTCTATTTTTTTGTCCCATTCATTGGTACTTTTTGTTTTGATTGGCTTCCTTTCTCATTTCTGTGTTTAATTTTTGGTGGAAACTTCCAAAAATATAATTACACATATGTATTTGTGTTTTATAGTAGAATCTTGACAAATCCATCTAGACAGGTTAAAGGATGACTGGCCTTAAGCTGCTCCCACTGACCAAAATAACAAAATTTGTTGTAGTAAGTTTTCATGAAGCAAATTTATTTGATTTAGAGAGATTTGTTTATAGATTATGTTTTTTAGCAGAAGGGTTTAAATGTCATTTATTTTATGAAACTATTCTGGTAGTAGTTGGGACTGAATTCTTTTTTAAATGGTTTTGCTTGACAAAATTGAGTTGATAACTACTTTTCACAAATCACTTACTATTTTGTTTTGTTTTTTTGGTACCGGGGATTGAACTTGGGTCCTTGCACTTACGAGGCAGGCAGCAGAACCACTGAGCTAAATCTCTGGCCCTATCACTTCCTACTTTAAGGTCCATGAACAGCTAATAGATTTCCAACCTCATAATTAGTGTAAGGTTTTTCTTTATTACAGCATTTCTAACAGGTGCTCATTTTGCTCTTCGTTTAAATCCTTTTAACAAGAATGCAGTCAGATAGGTAAAGAATAAGTTAAAAGAGTGGCACGTGGCAGCAGAGGGGACAGGTCATTGGCATAAGCACATACATTACATCTAGGATCAGCCCTATGGCTAGTTCTTATACATTGAAGATTTATTAAGAGAGAAAGTGGATATTTTGATTTATTTACAAAAAGAAAATAGTTTGTATTGAGTTTTTATATGGGCCAAGCTATGTGCTAAATACTTTATATACATGGGCTTATTTACTTTTCACAGAAAGCAAGAGTTGGTCTCTTCAGCCCTATTTTATATGATGGAAATAAGACTTGAAGTGGTTGAGAACAAATAACTTGGTCAATCCATATGGCTAGAAAGTATAAAGCTAACCCTAGAAGGCTGATCTATGAGAATTCAAAGTCCATTAAATGGATGCATATTGAGGATATACTCTTAAGTGAAATAAATAAGTCACACATGTATAAATACTGAATAGTTTCTCTGGCGTGAAAACTATAATAGTACATAAGATCCTAATGATACAATTGACAATGTGAAATAGGAAGAAAAGAGCTAAAGGTATAGGGAAAGTGGGAAGGGTAGGGGAAAGTTAATAAGGGGAAAAATATATGAGAAAATGAAAAAATGGGAATAAAGTATTTGTAAATGGGGAGGGGAGGAGGGGGTGAAGAGAGGGCAGGGACAAGGGGAAAAAATGAGAACCAAGACCTGTCATGTAAAGGTACAATATTCCAATGATGAATGTAACTGTACTGTACAACTAAAATGTACGAATAAACTCAATGAGAGAAAAAAAATAATTCAAAGTCCATTAAATCTATATCCATATTTTAAAAAAATGAGCCAGAAAGAAATTCAATACCCTTCTTTATTATAGGACAGAGAATTTCTATCGCAGTATTAAAGTACATGAAACATCTGTGCTTGTTTGAATGTCTATCCCAAGTCTTAGATTATGCTTTAATCACAAAATAAGATTGTTGAAACAAGTGAGGGTGGTGGTTTCTGCATAAACTGTATGAACTGCTGTTTCTCATGTACTTTTCCAACTTTCAAAACAATCCTTTAATTTGTCACAAGGGTCTTTTTTATAGTCAGAATTAGCCAGGTTTTTTGTAAGATAGTGTTAATAAATGGAACAAGGCTTCTATCAGTAGTTAAACTTAGTGATTGTTTTAACTATGATCATTGAGGTTCTAGGATGCTATATATGTTAGCATTCCCACAGTACATTTTACTTCCAAAAGTAGTTTTTAATCATTAGCTATTTCCCATGTGATCTCAGTGGAATAGATCGCTATTCATACTTATTATTTTACAGATGAAATGACAGATATATCCAGTTTG